AATGGTTGACTATCATGCTTGTAGAAATTCTTAATCTTTGGGTAGGAGGTTGAATAAAGGTGAAAACCCCATCAAATAATTGGCAAGCAATTTCTATTTTTGTTCTTTTCTTTGGCTTTTCCTTACTAAGTTTTTTTTTTTTTTTTTTTCCAACACATTCATTTTGAACTTTCTGGGTTGCCCAATCAGGGTTTCCACGTGTTTTTCAATGTTCATTTAACGTCCAAGTTCTTGTTAAATGGGTGGTACGATCGAAAGTTTAAGTATTGGTCAGTTGGCGTTATTCATCTATAGACCAATACTTTTATAGTGCTGCTATTTGTTCTTAACTAGCAGCAGTCAAGGAATGGATTAACGTCATTTCTTCCTCACAGGTGATTTTGATGGTATCGGTGGTAGATAGTAACATTTCTGCTTCCCCAACGTTGTTGGTTAAATGTTTAAAGGATTGTACCAAATATCACGACTTGCTTGTAAGATGTTGACAAACAACTAACAAACTCATAGTACACGGTAACGAGAAATGCGGTTTGATATTGAGGGGGCTGTGTATATTTGACATAATTATCTCATTGGGAAAAATATTACCTTGTGTGATATCAAGTGTAATGCCCGGTGTTTCTTTTTTATATTTTGCACTCCGATAATCATCGAGTAGGAGTTTGAGATTCTATTGACATATTATTTTTGTTGTTCGTTTTTGCCAACCTTTTCTTTACTCTGATGAATAGCGATGACACGTTCTATCTCAATTTTTTCCCTACGTTTCATACGAAAGGGCTCTTGCATCAAGTCCTAATAGGCATTGTGTGGTAAAGTTTGCTTTGTCATATCACATTTATCTGTTACTAAAGGTCCTTTGTGATTAGCGGTGAGTTATCTGTCTCTGCCTTGTTTGCTATATTTGATGGTACTCTTCATTGCCTTCTTTAAAACTTTTAATCTGTCTACTTTCAGGATAGAATTTTATCTGCGCTTTCCAATTCCGTACTGGGATTCCTCCTTAGATTTTCACCTGGCAAATCCTATCCATTCAATCGTATGGACAAGGCATTACTTCGGCAACGGTCGGGGAAGAGTAAGGACTGGCCCCTTCAGCAGTTTCACAGAACCTGATGGTACCCCCATATCCAGAGATATTGGAAGGGCTGGCACATTGATAGCACGAGAAAATATTGAATCCATTATAAATCGGAATAGTAACCTGCGGCTAGTTTACACCACCTTGATAACATTAGAGGGCTATCACAATGGTCCACACGTGTGGATGGGAGGTACGGTACGTATGGTCACCTCCGCGCCATCAGATCCTTGTTTTTGGTTCCATCACAGCTTTGTAGATAAATTATGGCGAGATGCTCAACGGAACATGAGAAATCCAGAGAATTATCCTTACCAGACTAGTACTAATCGACTACATCGACCGAGAGAGAACATGGTTATGTTCCGCTTTGATCCTAACTTTCCTGTGCGTAACGAAGACGGTTATAGAAGCTGGGTTGCTAGACGTACTACATATGCGCGATCGCCGGGACAGGCGACTGAAAGATCACAGTGTGAAAACCCTTCTTGGCGGATCCGACGGGTTCTCGTATGGGACGTCCAACGGCAGATATGTGTTAGCGGTGAAGGTGAACCGTCTGATTTTGATACGCCACCAGATACCCAAGCTAATCGTTTGTCCAGTTCAGCTTTCAACGATGGGTCTAATTCTGCTTTACAGTTTATATCTCCAATAAGAGACCAAAGAACGATGATACCTGAGGACAACACAGTGGCCAACACTTTCAGGGCTGTAGCGGGTACATCGGGCACTGGAAATCTATTTTTCAATAACGCTTTCACTTCCCCTCTTCACGATGTTAGAACAGTCAGTTCTTCGTCGCGATCCTCCGGAGGGCCACCATTCGTTAATCAACGATCACGATCCATGTTGTTGGATGATTTAATCATGAGACTACGAAGACGACAGAACAACCAATTGGCAGAAGTAGCCAGTATCACTCAACCATCATTGGTCAGAAATGAATTACAAGGAAACAATATGATAGGTTTTACATCCGGAACAGGACAGCCAGTCGATAATAACGCATTTTTCGAACGTGTTAATTTTGGGGACACGAACAGACAGACAAGGAATCTTTTCGGACAGACAGGACAAATGATCGGACAGACAGGGCAGATGCTCGGACAGACAGGACAAATGATCGGAGAGACAGGGCAGATGATCGGACAGACAGGGCAGATGCTCGGACAGACAGGGCAGATGTTCGGACAAACAGGACAAATAAACGGACAGATCTCGGATACACCTGTTCAATCCAATTCAGTCATTTCCTTACTGAGAGGTATTTTACGCTAAAGACAAACAGGTGCTATAAATCTGATGGAATCCAATATTCCCCGTCAACTTTAAACACATAAATATTATTCTCTTGTAGACCTGATCGGGTTCAACATGACAGGGTCTAATTCTCTTGTACACTGATAGGGCTATTGAGCTATTATTTTTTACAATCTGAAAATTACTATCTATCTATCTGAAAGCAAAGCAATAGCAGAAACGTCCAATTTGTTAACAGCTATATCCTGTAACAAAGTGCGACCGCCAACATTTAATTCACAGACATCATGGTGTCCAAATTCCTTATAGACATGACTGGATCAATTCTTTCAATATCAAAGCCTATAAACCGCCAATTTTAAACCCATAGACCTGACGGGATCCTTTCTCTCCGTCAATTTTAAACCCAAAGACCTTATCAGTTCTTATCTCTCCGTCAGTTTTAAACCCATTGACCTGACCAGTTCCTATCTCTCCGTCAATATTAAAGTTATAGGCCGAACGGGATCCTTTGCCTCCGTCAATTTTAAACTCGTTGACATGACAGGGTCCAAAACTCTCCGGCATCATTGAACTGACGGGGTCTAACATTCTCTGTCTATTTTAAACAGCTTTCAATGATGGGCCTAGTTCTGCTATTGAATTATTATCATCCTCTGAGATGCTGCAAGAATGATGATACCTGAAAACATCCCTATGGCTAACACTTTTATTGTAGTAGCCAGTACACTGGTGACTGGAAATGTAATATCAATTATCCTCCCCTCTTCGCAATATTAGAACGGTTAGTTTATCATCCTGATCCTCCCGAAGACCAACAACATCAGTTAATCAACTATCACGAACCATGTTTGATCACGAATATAAAGCCGACATTCCGCTTTTCTCATTGTTTTTTTTTTTCGAGGCGCGGGGTGGGGATGGGAGGGTGTGTGTGTTATAGCTCTATTCAAATAATCCGTAGAACTCAATCACAGATTGCAATATTTTTCACATTTATAATTGACTCTTTTGTTTGATATTTTCTCGTGTCGTCGTGTTGGTCAAACGTGAAGTACATAATGACGCCGATGTTTTTCTGTTATAAGGTAGGAACATGGCCAGTGTCAATTATTGTTTCTTCGAGGATTACTATATTGAACTCGAATAAATATTTTTTCCATAATCGAAAGAAAAATGAAATAGCTAAATGATCGTAAGAATCGTTGATTCAACTGCAAAGTGATATCAAAATACATCTCTTCAAATCCGTTTCTTCAGGTCTCGTCGTATGACATTGACCGACAAAGCTAAGGCTTTACCTACAGCTTGCATAAAAAAAAAGATCAATGACGTGACAGTTATAGCGATGCTCACATTTACATGACTGTGATTTCATTAGTGATGAAAAAGCCTTCGGCAAGAATACCTCGACATTCACAAAAATTAATTTTCTTCTTTTAATATTTCAGCTACTCCTTGTAATGATTAATTATTATCCTTCTTTTTTACATAAATATCAATAAAGTTGTGTTTTAGAAGATTTCTTTGAGTCATGTATAAAAGCATTAGACGGGTCATATTCATTAAACGAAACTACCTTCATGCATTTACACAGCATTAAATTTTGCAGTGTGGCAATGATAGCGCTGCAGTAAGACACGCATCGCAACACCAGTCTTTTCACGCTAAGTGTTACAGTTTTTCAAATATGCAAACACAGTTTCGCAAAATGCCGCGAAAAATGTTTGAAAATACTGTAATATTGATGTGAAAAATGCGTGTCTTGCTGCGGGTCGTGTACATATACACCACTCAATACAATTAGCATATACAGAACACATAGGCGTAATAAATATTAGAATGAAACATGATGTCATCAGAGGTACGAGGAAACACATATTAGAATAACACAACACCTGGAGTGATTATATATGACGTGATCAGAGCTTATAACACATATCTAACGCGTAAGTATCAAACGGAACCAACATAACAGATGGGGCCATTGGCGTGCTATGAATATCACTTTAAGTGAAGAATTTGATCACGTCATTATGGCATAAACATGAGTATAGGATCACATTTATTGTCCAGTAAGACATAATTCATGTCTGTGGTAACACAGCACGTATACATCATCTTGAGTGGTATTTTCTTGATATGCAGGATAATTAGTGACATGTTTGTCATTATATGATGAAAGTTTAATTGTAATATATTTTGTATTGAATATACATAGCCGTAAAAAAGTAAGAGGGTTACTAGGGCACCTTCCTTAAGCCTCCGATCAATGTTCAAAATACATTATCCGTGACAAAAAAAAATACCGGTGCGCCTAGATTACCAATATCGTGATTTTACAAACTAATGCCGATTTCTGACTATCACCGAGACGTGTGATCGTAAATACATCTGCAATTAATAATTGTTTTACAAATGTGGCTGCAGATAAGTTGTCGAATAACGTGTGTCTTGTCTGCAAACATTATTACATTTCCTTTATACAAAAAGAACTGGGCTTGCTTGATAAGGGAACCCCACCTATACAGTATGCTATATTGTAAAAGACGAGAAATATTAGCTAATCATGCTTCAGCTAAGATTGCCTATTAATGATAAAGATACGGACCTCCCCTGTTTATACTGGATCCCTGAATTTCACAATGATACATGTAAACAACGTTTTATAGTAGCTCACCTTATTGTTCAACCAAGCCCTTGTTTAAACCACTAACCACCATTCTAAGTACTATCATTTCTGGGTTACAATCTCATTGTGATACTGTTTAGTCAAGAAGTGGAATACTATGTGGATTCTGAAGAACTCCGAAGAGGCTTTGACCAATAGTCAACACCCTCCTCTAAAAACCATACCACCGTTCTTCATTCGAAACTGAAGGTACTCCTTCGTTCTCTTGTTATGAGAAATTTCTTCTCCAAAAAAGGTGAACGGAAGTACAAACAAAATTACGTTCAAATCAGAGAAGAAATATACGGAGGACGAAATCATAAAAATGATCGAGTTTCTGGTTGAAAACATCTTCGTCGAGTTTGGTGGTAAGATCTTCAAACAGAATATTGGCATACCTATTGGAATTAACAGCGCCCTCTTTGTTTTCAATCTAAGCTGAATTTATTGTAGAGCTTATTAAAACAGGTCACAAAGACTTTGTCAAGACGTTTGATTTCCCCTTCAGATATATTGACTATGTCCATCGTATACATCCATCAGAATAGGTAATCAAAGACACGACAGACTCTTCTTCATCAGCTGCTTGTTTTGGTTTTTTACTACAACGAAACCAACATGGGCAGCTTTCCATCAAGCTGTATGATAAACGTGATGATTTCAATTTCCCTATTGTGAATTTTCCATATCTTGATATCCCCAACCTATGGTATTTAAATGTCACAACTCGAAACACAAGGGATCAAAAGATGCTGGTTGATGAAAATTATGGGGAATAATTATGGTCGCCATAGTGATGTCATTGGGAAATATTTCTTTGTTTGACACGAAGATGTGTTTACATTGCTGGTGTTCTCGATGAAGTAGAAAATTCTTACTCTGGTCTTTATCTGTTTGTACTTTTGAAAGAGTCGCCAAGTAAATATTTCTTTTGTTCTTATTTTGCCCTAGATTTATTGAATTTGAATTTGAATCATGATTATGTTGCCATTTTCCTGATTTTTTTAAAACCAATTTCATCAATTTTGTATTTGAATTAAGATTCTGGTAACATGTCGGTATTTTCTTTATTGTTATTATCTGGTTAGATTGAATATCATTTTGTATTATTATTCTTATTGTCATAATGATTGTATTTTGAACAAGCACAGGCTTAAGGACAACACCATCATGCATGTTGATTATCAGAAGAAAAGAAACTCTTTAAATCAAAAGTCACGCTTATGATTTTCAATTTTAGGGAAAAAATTATGCCATAAACTACTTCCGTTCGTGTCAGTCAACAGTACGTTTGAATTAGATATATCGTCAATGTTTATAACAATATCTTCTGGTATATTGAAGTTGCAAATAAAATGAGATTTTGAAATTGATAAATGGTTCTGTTCTAGTTTAAATAAATGAATATAAGTCTAACAACTAAGCATTGATTATTCTTTTATGAAAGATATAGTCGTTAAAAATGTAATATGATGTTTGTTTACAACGGATCTGTCATTTATCATGATCATAAATGCCTTAACATAATCATAAACTCTTCCCCTTCTTATTATTTCATTCTCTACGTGCTTTACGTCCTTAAGGAAAGATTCCAACTACAATGAACTGTTCAGTGTAGATAGTGTTATCCCTCAGGTGTATTTGAACTGCCATATTGCTGATGAATCGGCGCCATTTCACAACAGTGACGTCATTATCACCTATATCTCTTCCCCTTTATCTACAGCACGGATGAATACGACCAATCACAAGACAGGTTTGCTAAGGAAAATGAAGCAGATATAGCAATACACACATTTTCCAGACTGTGATTTCATAAGTGGTGAAATAGCCTTCGGCATCAATACCTCAACATTCACAAAATTAATCGTTTATTCTCTAGTTCAGTCTATTGCTTCTGCTTTATCTTATTTGTATGAATGTTAAAATGCGTTTTATAAGACATCTTGGAGTCAAGTATGAAACGAGTTTAAAAAATAATCATCAAACGAAACTCCTCAACAACGTGACTTACTAAACATCAACATAAGAAGGTTGCTTGAGTTATATGTAACACATCTTTAACATATGTATACACTAGCATGGACAGCAGTAAGGCACTATACTAAATTCCTTATTATAGCGTCTTTTTCAAACGGTTTTCAAACACTTCAACATTTGTCTAAAAGTGTGTTTTGTCGCCTTAAAACACAAAGTTTTACATTAAAAAAAAACGATTTAGATATTAGCTCAGGATGTTTATGATGTTGACATGACAACAAAACATGCATGCGCGCTGTAATTGCAGGATTAAGTACAGAGATAGATAGTAAACGCGATGTTTGCTGCGGTTGGGTAGGTATCATGA